GGGGGGGGGTTAGGGTTTAGGGTGTACCTATAGTCTCCATTGTAGTTCCTTTTTTCTGGCTAACCAAATAATTGCTATGGGATCTCAATTTAAGCGTTGCAGGAGCCTTAATGATTCATATATAGAATTTCGTATCTTTATTCATTACCGATACTATTTTGGGAAGTTCCTTATTACGTAGAAGAAACAAGAAAAGATACCTCCCGCCAACAGCCTAATTATCAAGGACCTTAATATAGAACCCTATTTAACATAGAACCCTAGCATAGATCCCTTATAGAACCCTTTTCGGATCCCTTTAAAGCGCCCTTCTATGGCATGGCACTTTTGGAAAACTGAAAAGTTTCCCTTATGAGTTCCTATAGAGCTACCTATTCATGACTACTATTCAGGGGCCCAAAACTACAACCTCGAAAAGGGGTTTAGGGTTTAGGGGTTTAGGGTTTAGGGGTTTAGGGTCCAATCTTTTGACGTCTCAATGTTAAACTGTGAGACCGCCGCAGACCATGCAAGCGCCCTTAGCCCCAAATGAAGCGCCACACCCCCAAGGCAATCCTTGCGCAGATGTCCTTTCCCCTACAACCGCTATCTTTTGCAGTACCTCTAGTCCCCAAACCTCTGGACTTGATCTCGGTGAGTCCATAAGTCTGCACAACCGACCCTAAACCCTAAACCCTAAACCTCAAACCCTAAACCCTTGAACCCTAGAACCCTAAACCCTAAACCCTAAACCTCAAACCTCAAACCGAGACTGGACTCCATGCACCCTAACGCTTAAACCGAGCCTCCCCGGTCGACGTGGTTGCATCATACTGTTGATGATCACAATCCTGCACTACCTTAAGGACCCTAAACTATGGGAATTATGGCATATTCCTTATTATGGGTAATGCAGGATTTTGATCATCAGCCGTAACACACCATAGTGTAGTGTAGTATACGATGATCCGACATACTGCAGTGTACTATAGTGTTCTATAGTATACCAATATACCACAATGTAATATAATCGATTATGGATTTTCAGGATTCAGCTAATGAAGCAGTCAAATGAACTATTTAAGAAAGGGTTGTTATTAAGGGCGGGTGTATTATATGGAGGTTTCCGAAAATTTGGGACCCTAATAGAGTACCCTATAAATAGTAGTATCCTTATTATAAGGACCCCAAAATAAGGTACCCTAACTTTCGGAAAGGCCCATATCCCTAAACCCCAAACCCCTAAACCCGAAACCCCAACCTGATTCCTACACCCCAAACCCTAAACCCGAAACCCCAAACCAGTAGGACGCCAGACCTCTGAGCCAGAACCCCCAAAGGCCCGAGTTGTAGCTCTGTCAGGCCAGCGAGCTGGGCGTGGAGCAACCTTGAGCGAATACTATATTATGGGCTTAGGGTTTAGGGTTTTGGGGTTTTTGGGGTTTAGGGTTTAGGGGTCTTCATGAGCAGAGTACCCTAAAGCCTAAACCCTAAACCCTAAAACCCTAAACCCTAAAAATTATTAAACCCTATAAACCCTAAGCCCTAAACCAGTAACAAAATGTAACAAGTAAGAAGCCCTAGTCTGGAGAATTCTCAGGAGGGGAGTTGAGGAGGGGGGAGTTTATAGAAGTTATGTAAGGGGCAGATCGTCGTGGTTGGGGATCACCACAAAGGTTCCGAAGGAATGCATGTAAGTCAGCTAGTGTTGTCCAAGACTGTTGTTCTGTGAGGTTGGAACTTCTCCGGCATGTGCATGGCAGGCTTATTCAGAAACAACAAGTTGATGAATCACTGAGAGCCGTGCAAAAAACGTAACCAGCATAGGCCACAAGGAAAGTTACAAGTGAAAGAGTGCCTGTAGTCTATAGGTCTGCCCCGCAGATCACATGCCCAGAGTCCTACTAGCTGCGCGGAATGTGTTGCAGCCATGAGTGTCGCCATGCGTCATTGGGGCGAATATGAAACATCGCCGGCTTGTACTGTTCAGAGCACAAGTCAAGGATGGCATTTCTGGGCTTTGAGCGCTTTTAAAAAGGCTTTGTTCCCAGCAGAAGATCTGGCATCAAGGCGGGTTCGTGCGAATCGGAGCAGCTTAAAGGAGACTCTTTTTTTTTTCAGGGTCGGGGGATTGCAGAGCTGTTGCCAGGAATGTGCGAGTTCTGGACATTTTGTCCGACACATCTGCCCGTGTGGGCGAACTTTTCGGGGCCATGTGCCCCAATTTGCCCCTGCCGCAGCCTGTTCAAGGCGATGATGGTCGCAGGGCCAAGGCGCGCGTGGACGTGAGGTATGTGACGCCCGCAGAGGTTGAAAGCATGAGGTCTTTGCACGCAGAGACCAGACATTTGCTCTGCATAATTATGGCAGTGGTTCGGGGGCCGGGACAGCGTGAAGAGTCCAGGATGCGGAAGTACAGGGCAGCAGTGCTGTTGAAAGATTTTCTCAACAGCGCCACACGTTTGCGCTCCATTCCTGAAGTTGCAGCTGTGGTATTGGAGGGTGAAGCATTGATGCTGCAACACGGCCGTGTTGAGGTCCGGGAATCTGTGTTTACAAGGGCACCCACTTGGCCAGCATTTTCCACGTGGTGGTCAAGAGTTCTGCGTGGGCAAGAAGTGTTGCCGTTCCAGCTCTTTGAAAACCCAGTCCTTCAGCAATAACTTTGCACTACTTGGTTCATTCATGTGCAAGTCCGGAGTGCAGCTATGCAGCCAGCCTAGTCCCACATCGTAGCTAGAAAGACGCGATATAATTCGACTATGTTGTAAGATCTGGCGGGGCAACGAGATCAAAGTATGGGTAGCCAGCAAGCAGTCGCGTAAATCTGCAGCACCCAGGTTACGAACCCTTCGTTGGGCGAGTTGGTCGCTGGAGTTGTTCTGCGTGCTTCAGGTGATGACGTTCTCTTGAGGTTGGTGCTGCAAGCTTTGCATCAATGGGTCATATGCATCTTGCCTGCTGCTTTCGCTCGCATACCGGACCCTGGTCCCCGTGCTGTTCTTGAAACATCAGCTACGAAACTGCGTGACTTGTTGGCTGTTGGGTTCTATGACAGCATTCTTGAAAGGCTGCAGGAGGCTCCTCGGCATGTCCAGCGGTTTTCGGTGCATGTGACTTTGTTGCTGTTTCAGTGAGCTGAAGGAAGCTTTTTCCTCCGTCGAAGATGCTGTGGAGAGGAACGACAGCAGGGCTCGCTCTTTTTACAAGGCGTAGATTTTGATTAAAGTGCGCAAAGCATTTTACAGACACAGTACTTGTGCTGTGTGCAGGTGTTCGCATCTGCGTACCGGGAACTAGCGACAAGGCGGCTGTGTTCGGGCCACATGGTTCAGGCCAGAACTGCTAGCGGCTGTTCAGTACATCGTGGGACCGTTACGATTCGGAAGTGACAAATTTCTCGCGGCCAGGTGCTCTGGGATGCCGGGCGCGCAGGTAGCTGCAAGGTCGACATCGTGACCTGTGTGAACATGGACGCGAAGAAGGGGGCTATGTGCCATCAGCAGGCGGGAAATGCAGTGTGTTGGGACAGGTGCTTGCAGCAGGAACATTCGGAAGTGTGTTGAGGTGGGCATCTCACATTCCACGTTGGGGTTTGGCTCAAGGCCTGCATCACCCAGTGATGAATGGAGGCAAACTCTTCACTACGCTCTCCCGCCCGCCCGGGTGCTTTTGCGTCCTGCTTTAGATGGCACACACATGCGCTGGATGAGTTGGTGCGGTTGTTGGGGCGCGATGCCCTGCAGGCTGGTTTTGTCAGTCTACCTGTGTCAGAATGAACATAGCCCACGGCTGATCGATTCAAGTTTGCAGGACTCTGCGCTCTGCAATGCAGTACGGGTGTCTTCTCACTGCAGTGGCATTGGGCCAGAGAAGCTCATCGTTGACAAATTTGTCAAGCCAGCGATGCAAGCTGTGGGCTTGCCAACTGAGCACCGCTTGATGCAGCACTTCTCAATGGCTCTGGCCCTAGCTGCAGTAGTCTCAGATGTCGCAATAGCCGATCAGAACATGCCCCTCGGATCAGTGTTCCCAGCACCAAACTCAGGAGCTGGATAAGGGCGCAAGGGATGTGCTTATGGATGCATCCAAAGACGCAGCAGATGATGTACACATCGGCCTTGACTTGCTAGAGCATTTCGGAGTGAGTGCGTCGCACATCAGCACGTGGGCTTTCTTCGCACGCATTATGTTCTTCTTCACGTCCCCGGCTTTGGCTTACATATGGTGCGAGCGGCATCGGGCTTATTGTCGCATCAATTCTTGCGACATAGATTGTTCAGGATTCCCTTGCGTCGATTACAGTCCCTGCGGAAGCAGGTTGGGCATGGCAGGGCCGACTTTCCCTGTTCTGGTCTGCCTTTTGGCGTGGCACAGGGCCAGCCGAACAAAGATCGTATTCTTGGAAAACGTACCAAGTTTTCCGATCTCCACAATTGAAGCTTTGATGGGGGACCTTTACACATGCTACTTTTTCTACCTGTCGCCCTCAGACGTTGGGTGCGAGTACCTGAGTAGACAGCGAGTCTTCATCATGCTCTTGCTACGAGGTGCCGTGGTGTTGACTGACTGGTGTCCCTACATCCATGTAGACATATGTCCTTGCGCATCTACGAAGAATACTTAGCGCCGTGCCTGCTGTGTCTGAACCAATAACTGACAGTCGTGGCCATGGCATTTGTCGCCGGTAAGTATTCCTCAATCAGGTGCTGCCCAGGTGGCCTTTGACGTCGTTTCTGTGCTGGAGACGGTGCTCCAGAGGATTCGAGACGAAAGAAGCTGTCACTTTGCAGACCTCCAGGTTGCAGATGTTTTGATAGCCCCTGTGTCTGAAGTTCGCACCTATGAAGAGACGTTGGCTGCAGCGCCCTGGGTGATGAGTCGTTAAATTTTCTGAGGTCGAGTCTGTTCACTGTCTGGGGTAGGTCAGTGCTCCTAATCCTCCAGCCACTTTGAGCAGCCTAGGCACGTGGAGTCCGTGCCTTGCCCCCAAGGAGTGGGACATTGTACAACAGCTTCTGGTACTTGCTTCATGAGTCTGAGAAGGTTCGATACCGCGGGTATGCCCAGCAATGGTTGCAGCGGCGCGGTGTGCTGCCTGAGGAAGACCCGAACTGCCTGTTCCATTTGGGCGATAACCCCGAAAAGTTTCCAGCTTGGACAATGTCTGGAAGCATCCCGAGCTTTCGCAAACGTACAGCTCTTTTGTATCACCCGTTCAGTCAGTCAGTCATGCTTCCCAAGGAGAGGTTAAGCATTCTAGGTTGGCCGTTGTATCCTGAGCTAGCTCAGGCAGCCAAGATGCCAGTGTACGATTTTCCCGACTTGCGGCATGCCAACCGCTTCGCGGGGAATGCTTATCATGTGGCCGTCTTTGGGACATGGTTCACAGTGTGTCTGGCATGTGTCCAGCTTGTCAAGTGATGGCAGACGCTTTGATGTCGCGCAAAACATCTCCGGCTACGCTGCTAGTTTCAGGAAAGACCTTTCTAGCTTGTCGAAGTTTGTTGTTGTCTTGAGACTGAGAGCTTCTTGGCTGAAGACTGAAGAAGGCTGTAGGCTGCCCGCTTCGGGGCCTGCACCTCCTGCGAAGCATGATGGGCCCTCCGCCCAAACGGCCCCCGCCACCAGTTTCCAGGAATCCCGGTGCTCCCAGTCCAGCAAGTCTGGCGGTTCCTGGCCTCATGCCAGGGAGCAGCCCTGGAGGACATCTGGTGCCTTCAGCTGGTGTTCCGCCGCAGCTGATGTCGATCATGCCACAGCAGATGCCACCACCTGCGCCCAAGAGCAATCGCGGAGGCATGCGCTTGGGGTCGTTAGTCGTGCTGCATATTATCATGACCATTGCAGCAGATCGGAGCCTGCTGTTCTGTTCATGCTGCTTCCTCCAGGCGGCGGTGGTGGCGGAGGCGGACTCAACCGTCCGAAAGCCGCGACTTCGGCGAAGTTCTCCTCCAAATGGACACACATCAGAGACATATGTCTGCATGACATGAAAGTGGTGCTGGGGCGCATGTCGCCAAGCTTCTGCAATCTAAATCAACTGCAGAATTTGGATCTGGATAAACACTTCCTGCTTTACGAATACGGGACGGGCTTCTCGCGAGACAACCCTATTATTACACATGTGCGTGCTGACCTAAGTTTACACATGTCGGGTTCATGACGATAGAGTACGTATCATGTCACCCTCAAGCCTGAATTCTAAGTCCTGAGGTGAGGCATGGTACGAGGCCCAGAAGGGGGAGCACGATCGTCGCATGGCGAGTGGCGAGGAGCATTTGAACAAGAATGTCTCCGAGATCTTGCAGGTGATGCTTCAGCGGCGGACCCAAGATGCAGCAGCCTCGCCATTGCCTGCTCCTCGTTCTGCCTTCAATCCCGACATGGGGCAGCTCCCATCCTTGTACCGAACAACAGATGGCACGCAAGCATCCCGGCACAAAGGTGCAGTTTCATAGAATGCGTGGCAGAGTGCTCGAAGATTTGCCTTCTCAGATGCTGAGTTTGCAGCATGGCCCTTAGGTCCTGGCGCATCAGAGCCGAACCGTGCCCTGCCCCCCCACAGCCACTATGTGGGCACTCAGTGTTGACACGCAACCGAGATGCATTTTTGCTGATGGCAAACCATAGGGTTTCGGATGTGGTGGCTCACAGTTCTTATCAGGGCCAGCAACCAATGCTACATCACGGATGGGGCCACCTCGCACTGGGTCTCAGACCTCATGGGTCCCGTTGGCTCTCCAGCCCCTCGCACTGGAGAACTCTTGGCTCTGCGTGCCGGTCCTGAACGATCGGGCCCTACGGAGGACATTGCCTTCGATGCCGTGTTGTTGCCTTGTTTGGACTTGTGCTGTTTGTCTGTTTGTCTCATGCTGCTCTGTGTGACCTTTGAACCGGTACTTTGCCTTGGCGCAGTCCATACGCAGTGCTGCGCACTCACCGTCTCCAGAGCCGGACGAAGAGGAGGAGGAAGGACCTGGCGCTGCGTCCCGGCTAGCTTAGTACGCCAGCTGTCATATGTTCGCAGAAAGGGAGGCTGCGGTGGTTTCTTGGATTGTTTGCAGGTTGAGCTGCGTACGTCTTCCAAGAACGGGCGGCAGTATGCATGGTCGCACCGCCGTTCGAGCTCTAAGTGGTTGCCTGCCAGCACCTCCTTGTGGCAGCGCGCAACTACTGCGGAAGGGCACGTGTACTTCTGCGTGGAAGATGGCAGCCTTGATTCCATTTGGGCGCCTTGTCTTGTGTATCACAGGTATAGTGTGCAGACGGCGCTTCTTGTGAGTGTGACATACGAGTGCACGAAGAAGCACCCTGGCCTTCAGTGCAAACTTGCCATTGCATTGCTGAGGTTGCCGATTTGTTTCCAGATGACAATGCTACCAACGTGAAGCCGAGTACGCCTAGGAGTTTGGCGGCTGCATCCACGAGGGCAGAGGGCTCACTTGTAAAATCGGATGACAGTTGTTTGCTTGAAGTGCCGCCGCAGCTGTCCTCCATCCTTGCACGCAGGCTGGCACCACCGCCACTGGTTCACCTGTTCCTTCTCCTCGTCTGGCCACTTTGGAGGAGAGCTTGGCAAAGTCTGAGTCTGCCCTCGAGACAATGCAGGCAGAGCTCCAAGACGTCAAGGGGCAGCTTGCCTTCATGACGAAGCTGCGAGACTCGGCAAAGGAAGAACTCCTGCAGGAACAGCGCCTACGGGTTGAGACGGAGAAGAAGCTGGCGCAGGAGGTGGATAAGAAGGAATACGCGCTATTTCAGGTGAGTGAAGCAACGGCCCAGATCCAGATGCTCCAGAAGGCCCTTGCCGATGCAGATGAGCGACAGGCGAGCGAGCAGCAGATCGTGCCCGTGGAGTCTGCCGAGGACAGCGATTTTTTTTTGGATGTGTGACGGCTCGGAAGCGTCAAAACATGGGCTACCTTCTTGTTTTGAGGACAAGGCCCCCGCAAGTCCGTTGGATGATCCAGTCGCTTGTCGGCAACAGCCCCACCCGAAGAATAGGACTTCGGAGATTTCGTGGGTTGGATTGCTCCCTTCCATTGCTGTCCGAGCTTCAACTTGGCTGCGGCTGTTGCATGCTTGCTGGGTCTCCTCCGCAACTCACCGCCCAACCCCACTCCATCCCACGCGGGCTCCAAGGTTTTAGGTGGTGCTCCTTGAGTATGCCGTTGCGCTTGAATTGGGTTGGTTTTCAACATTAGCCCATGAGTGTTGCCCGTTGCTTCCATGATGAAGCTGCTGTGTTGATTGCGTCAGGACCCGCCAGCGGACGTGGCTAAGGACGAGTTTGCTGCAGAGATTGCAACCCTGCCCGAGCCTCCAACCGATCCGGCTCCAAGCCCGAACCATCCTGCAGGTGTGCCTTTGGATCCCATGTCGGGCCTTGTGTCACCGGCCCCCGTACCTGCTGCACCTGAGACCACGTTGCCCACGCCCGATTTGGCCGAAAAGCCCGAAGCCAAGCCCCAGATTCTTGCTACAGCAGAGAAGCCCATCGGCAAGAGTCCTGCAAAGGCTCCACCCCCCAAGATGCCAAAGAGTCCAGCTATTAAAGCCGCTTCCAAGAAATCCAAAGCAGCAGATGCAGAGCCTTCGTCTGCAAAGCGCACCAGGCAGGGTCTTCAGAAGTCTTCACGTTGTTGTGATTAGATGGCTATAAGGATTAGGGCTCAAGTCAAGATTTGGGGCCAAGGGTTCAGGTTCGTGGGTCCAACCAAGCTTTGTAGAGGAGGCATGCAAGGGACGTGTAAATTGCCTGCGCTGTACAGTAATGGCCTTGTACAAGGCTCCGCAGTCACATGGTCGTGAGGGCTGTTTGAAGGGCTTCTAAGGGCTTGTAGGGGGCTTCTAAGGGGCTTGTAAGGGGCATGTAAGGGGCTTGTGAGGGGCTTGTAAGGGGCTTGTAAGGG